AAATAAGTAAATCTTTAAAAAAAAAAAAAAAAAGAAAAGAAATTATTTTATGTATACATGCAACACCTACTAAGGACCTGACACTTCTAATTCCTTCCTAACAGAAATCTGAAGTAGAATCATCCATTGTATATTTTACTATGACTTGATGCATCAATTAGTCACAGTAATGTGCCCATAGTTAATAAGATCATCCATTAAAACCAAACCGCCAGATTTTTACACTGTATAGTGAGCTTCCTTAAGTATGGCCTGATATTTTTTTTTCTTACTTTCCTTTAACCAGTTAACTGAAAGATATTAGCCTTATCTATGATAAGACACATATCAACTTAGAAAATTTGCTAAAGAAATGTAATGAATAAAACTTGAAACTTTGCATCTGAATTTCAAATGACCTTTCTTTCTTAAAGTAAATAATATTGTTGACAATGTAAATGTTACTGAACCCATAGTCTGTGAAGACACTTAATTTTAAAAGATATCTAAAAAGTGGATAACACAATGAAACTGAGAGGTTGGTCTTTGAAAGTTAGTTCAGATACTAACAATGTTTTTGAGATTCTGGGATAATTATCCTTTTAGTAGGGATATAAAAGGAAGATTTAATGAAATAAAACATGCAAAGCACTTACTATGGTGTCTGTCGACCTCCATAAGTAGAAGCAAGTTCTATAGCAACTATTTTCTTTCTAAAGGAAAAAAAAAAATAAGAAAAACTAAACTTTACTGATGCTCTGTTTTTTCAATACTATCATTATACTAGTATAAATAAGAAATTAAGAATAAGTAAGAAATTAAGAATTGCTCCAATTTTTATTCAAACTGAACAGCTCTACTACAAATGTAACTTCTGAGCCCAATAACACAAACTGGAACTATAATTCACATTCATAAACACAAATACTCATTTCCCCCCTTTTTCTCTCAATTACATAAGAGGAAATCCCAGCTCGTATCTGAAAGATCTCAGGTCTGTCACTTACTACTAGTAGAACTTGGCAGCTTGATTCATTACTCTAAGTCTCAAGTTTCTTGACTTACAAAGCAGAACAAGCACTAACACAGAAAATAGTTCAGGGGTTACAACTTGTTAAGAGTGTGATGAGGTTTCTTTGGGATGCACAGCCCATGGAGAGGAAGTTTGATAGGCTACAGGACTGTTGATATCAATAACATCCAACAAACTACCGAATAATTACTTGACCTCCAAAATATGAGGAAACTGTCTAAGTGTAAGAAAATCTTGAAAATCCCTAAGTCTATAAACAATATTAAAGTATTATTTTCATGAATTACAGTGTCCTGTGAGTCTGGCTGAGAGATTATGTCATCAGAATTTTAATATTTCATGAATCAAGGAAGATAATTTTACCACCATTAAACCTAAAATGAGTCCCTGTCTCCTTAGCTTAAGAAATTGCAGCAGGTAAGGCCAATAACTCATTGGCAGTTAGAAACCATTTATAGAACATTATTTGACAACTGTTTAGATTTATTTATTTATGTTATGCATAGAACTGGGGTGTGGCCAAAGGTGGGTAGGGTGGGGTGAGAATTCACCAGAGACGGGATAGGGAGCAGAAGAAAGGGATCTACTGAATATACTGCTAGGGAGTCAGTGGAAGAGGTCTGCTGCACCATGTGGGTCAGCTCTCTGGCCTGGGATAGAACTCAGGCCATATGGTGATAGCCCTGAGACTTAATGCTGAGGCCACTAGGGAGGACCCGGTGATAACTGGTTTAGGGGTGTGTGTGTGTGTGTGTGTGTGTGTATGAGAGAGAGAGAGAGAAGAGAAGAGATTGGGGGCAATAGAGAGGGAGACAGAGAGATAGAGAATAATTGTTTAATATGTAATAGTAGCATCCTAGCTGGTCTAGCACAACACATTCTCCTCTGTGTAGTCAACACCCTTTGTAAAAGGTAAACCCCCTTGTTTAAAACTCTATTGCATAATAGTTTCCTACTTCACTTTAAATAAATTCTGAATTCCTCTTCATGATCTACAAGATCCTGCATTATCTGACTGTACTGAATCTAACCAAGGTTATCTCATGCTATTTTGCCTCTTTCTCATTACACTCAACTCAAGTGCTGTTTAACAGAAATATAATGAGAACCACAAATGTAATTTTAAATTTGCTGGTAGTCATATTGTTTAATGTGTGAAAATGTAAAATTAGTTTGGATAGATTTTATTCATATATTCAAAATACCATTTTATATCTAAAATTGCATAGTATCAATATAATACTCCTAAGGTAGTTAATATTCTTTTTATCTTTTATTTTACTAAGTCTTCTAAATTGACGTTCACTTTACACTAGAGCACATCTCAATTCACACAAGTTACATCTGGCTTATGGCTACTGTACAAGACAGTGTAACTCTAGCTAAAGGGCTTTCCTGCAACCTCAGAACACATTAATTCCTTCCTGAATGTGCCATACTCTATTCTGCATCTGCTTTGCACTTTGCTTTACCTCCTTCCCCAACTCATTCTAAATGTCACCTCTTTAGTCAAGCCTTTCCGCATGGCCTTGGTTACAGAGATCTACCCATTATTCCCTAGCAGAGCATTCAAGAAATCACAGTTGTCTTAGAATTTCTCTCATCAGTAACATTTTTTGCTTCTCCTTGTCTTTCTGAACTTATTTATTGCTTGTCTTCCATCACTACTCTATAATTATTGCTCCATGAAGACAAGAATTAGTTTTATTCTGCTTGCCACAGGCACATTGGAGACACTGAATTTTTGCTGAGTGTGTCTATACATATTCTTAGTTTCTCTCTGATCACTTAATTCTATAGATAATGCCAAAAAACTGGCAGCAGAGAAAATATATATTCAATTATTAAAATCTACCATGTAAGCAAAATAAAGATGCTTATAAGGTATTACTAAGTTATCCATCTGATTTTTAAGTCATATTTTTATAAGCATCAAAAGAAGTAATCACTTCATTGAAATTATAAGTACAATCTAACAAAAAAGTAAAACTTTATTTAAATTTGATCAAATCAAGACCATTTCTAATGGTCTTCTCTTCTGTGCCTTCTAGAGGAAAGAATTATGTTAACTGCTCTTAATTTGGTATTCACTTTGTAAACTCAGATCACCCTAGTTCCCAAAGATCTACAAAAGTAAATGCTCAGCTCAGTAATTTCTTCAATAAAGGGAGAAAAGCAAAGTCTGGAAACTACCAGTGGAGCACTTAAAGAAAGCACAATGTTTTAGCTAAAATTTAAATCAAGTAAGCTTTACCTCATCTGTTATGGGTTCACGTTCTCCAAATAATTTACCATATTTATAATTTTGAATATTTATTATAATTCTCAAGAATGCTATGATGATTCACTCAGACATTTTACACTGCTAGCAGAAAGGTTTTATGGAAAATGATGTATGTATGTATGTAAAATTTTGAGATATTTTAATTAGGTTAATATGAGTAAAAATCCTACAACTGATTAAGATAAAAGGGTATGTATTTTAGGGAGGGAATCATCATTAAAGTAGCTGACTTTGTTCTTGTTACTAGGATGAAACCTAAAACTAAATTGACAAATATAAAGAAGGAATTCAAGTTTAGATAAGCGTCTTCAGGTTGACATAAAAGATGGAGAGGCTGCATCGCTCATTTTGAAATTCCCAATCAGCTCTATTATATCTCTTAGAGTTACCTAGTGAAGTCCTCTATCAGTAATAATGGTAGAAAGATAACTTCACAAAGGGCATGGCTGTCTCATACACATGAACCCATAAACAATTATCAGATTTGTATCATGGCCTGGGCACTATACATGCATCTGGTCATTTAATTTTTATAGCAGCCAAAAAGGAGTTATGATAGCTCCCATACTGAATATAGGAACTGAAGTTTAAGAGGTTAAATAGTTTGCCTGCAAACTTGGTTTTGCCCAACCGGTGAGCCAAAGACATTTAAGCACTTTATCCCAGTGATGGGAAGGAAAGGCTTAGAAAGTTTACTGCCATCTGTATGGCTTCTAAGTCTCACATAAGCTTAATTTTGAGACCCAAGTTCCCAAACCGTAGCTCCCTGTCTGCTAGTCTCCCCACTGCCTCTGTGTTTAGTCAGTTTCACAGTTATCTCTGGTTCCTTGTTCATTCTCCACTGGAAATAAAGCCTAGTGGAGAACCTCAGTCCAGTGATGCTGGCAAGCTAGTCTCGCCAGGCACTTTCTCAGTCTTTACCTTGAATAGCCCTCTGACATGTACTGCTGGAACCTACTGCAAGCACTAATTTCATTGCTACCCATCAAGAATCTCATCTGAAAGGCTGCCATAAATTATTAAGTATCTAATAAGACTACAGTGTATTTATTTGTGACAGACTATTCATAAATTTATTCTATAATTTCACATAAAGTTTTCCTTTCTAATATCATTCTTAATGAACACATTAATTCCTTCCTGAATGTGCCATACTCTATTCTGCATCTTCTCAGCACTTTGATTTACCTCCTTCGCCAACTCATTCTAGTATTTTGTCAGTCTTTTATAAAAAATATACTGGGGTCACTTTTATAAGGAAGAACCCAAAATTTTTTTGTGTGTGTATTTGTATGTATGTGTATGCAATTATTACCAGTTTTCTTGCATTTATATTCAATTTTCTCACTAATTAAATTTTACTGTGGCTACAGATATAAGATTTGACTAGTATCAACAAACAATTGTAATTTTAGAATAATAAAATTGAACAAAGAATTGATATCATGTGAAAAACTTTTTCTAAAGTTAGGCTTTATGAGTTTAAACCCCAGCTCAAGTACGAAATGACTGAATAACAACTGCTCTAAAGCTCAGTTTTCTCATGTGTTAAACATACTTTTTACATTAGCTGATTTCTGAGGTTGCCATCACTCAAACGCTCCAGTCAAAACCTAGTTAATATTGGATATCAAGCAATAAACACATTGTTTTTCATTAACTAAGCTTAAAGAAGTGTTACCCACATTTTTAAAGCGGTCCTCAAGAATTACTTCAACTCATGGCTTAAATAATAGTCACAATAATGTGAGAAATATTTGTTTTCTTTATAGCTATTACATATCTAAGTTTCTCCGACTAGAGTAGACATTCAGTTATTCAGAAGTCTCATAATAATTTGTTGATATTAGTTAATATGTATGATGCACCTTGATTCGCAAAATGAATGTAGTAAGAAATTCACAGCTTTAAAAAACTCAAAATTAAAGTAGGTCAGCATATAGGAAAACAAATGGAGGTAAAGAACTTAAAATATGCTTGTCTATACAGGCTTGTCTATATTGGGAGGAAGAAAAATGTAAAGCAGTCACTTAAACTACTCTCACTGGAAATTAACTCACTGAAAAGTAAACATAGTTCCTCGGTAAGTTTTAAAACACTTTACTACTTTTTTCAACACATGAAAACTTTATAAGTGAAGATGATGCCAAAATCTCACTCTAAGGAGCACAGAACAAATTGAACTGTAAATATAGATGAAAGAAAAAACATAGTGGGGGGCAGGGGTGTGAGAAAGTGGTTGAGGATTCTTCATTCATTTGACCAACAGACACTTAGTAAGCAATTATAATATGACACTACAGCACTGAGCAGTGTGGATGCTTTGCTAAACAAAAGCAACTTCCCACCCCACCAAAAAAAGAACAAGGAGGGAAACACAAATATAAAGCAAAAAT